CCAATGTTCCCTTTTCCTCCCACTCTCCCTTTCTTACACCGGTACCTCTTTCCTCCCATTCGTACCCTCCAACCTGTTCCCCTGTAGTTTATTCGTGGTCTCACTCTACTCAATAGGTCACATCCGATTATACCCCCATATTCTCTCGGCATATTCTCTACTACATGTACCCTCAACTTCCCACTTCCTGGGATCCATTTGTCTAAATCTAACTCTACTTCCCCTTCTATCCTACATGGACCACCCAAAGTGATCAACCTACACGTACATTTTTTTATTCCCGGTATCCTCTCTCCTTTACACAACTCCTCCAACATCTGCCTAGATACTATTGTATTCGAACTTCCCGTATCCACCAGACACTTTCCCTTCCCCACAACACTTATGATTGGCAAACCAACGCACTCACCTCCAATATTATTTACTACCGCGTGGCTGCCTCCCCTCTGCTCCTCTCCTCATTCGTCTGATCTTCCTCTCCTGTCCGCGACGGCTCCCCCTTCTCCACTCTTTCTGCTGCTTCTGCTTCTTCGAGCTGCTCTCACCACCGGCTCCTCCTCCTCGGTTCCAGATGTTCCCGACGAATCGTCCGACTCCGATGTCGCTCCTCTCTTCCTCCACAATCTCTGGGCGTTCACCTCCATCGGCTCATCTCGGCCCACTTCCCCCCGTCTGCTCATATACGGGCATTGTCTAGCAATATGCCCCTCAGTTCCGCATTCGAAACATCGGGTTCGCGGGCAATTCGCCACTAGGTGACCTATCTTTCCGCACCCGTGGCATCTCCTGTCCTCCTTTGTCCATTTCCTTCTCTCCTTCCCTGGCTTTTTCTCCCTTATCGCCGATCTTTCTCTCGCGCTAACTTATCCTCCACTTTTCTTCCAGCCATCCAGTCACGTTCTAAATCTACCGGGTTCCGCTCTCCTGTACGATACTCGGTTCCACCCGTTCTCATTCTCCTCTTCTCCCCTGGCTGCTTCTTCCTCCCGCGCGCTTGCATCAATCATTTCCTGGGCACACTCTACAAAACCCTTGTCTCTAGGTAGTCCATCCTTCTTTCCCGTGTCTCTACCCAGTTGTACTTTAAGGATGGTTGCCAGGAACGCCATTCTTGCTCCCGTTTCCACTGCGTCCGCTACTTCCCTCGTCTTCTCCGTTACATTGTTGAATCGTGCCAACAGGTTTGCTGCGTATTGTCCGTTGGACTGATACGGCTGTTTCTTCTCTCGGAACATCTGTAAGATGTCTTCTTCTGGGGCCCAACGGCCCCCTCCAAATGCCTTCTTCAGCCTGTCCTTCACGGTGCTCCATGGGGTGTCCTCATCCGCCTGGATCATGTTCAGCACACTCCTTTTAACCCGGCATACCAAAGCTGCCCTCAATGCGTTGGCATCCAGCGGATCTATCAAGTTTTCCCCTTCTTTGGCCGCTATACGCGATATCACCCGGTCGCCTCCCTTTAGAAAGTGGTTCAACTCACCTGTTCCTCCATCAAATCTCTCCAGGTCAGATATAGCTCTCCTCAGGTCCTGCGATGTCGCCGTTCTCACCTTCAGCCATTCCAGCGTCGTCGCATGTGCTGACGCTAACGTCTCCGTAGGTAGCGGAGGAAAGTCCCTCGCTAATGCTTCTGCCAACGTAGGAAACGCTGCCGGTGCCGCTGGTGCCGCAATCGGTTGCGCTACCTGTGCTGTAGGCGGTACTGGTGGTGGTGGACGTACTGGCGGTTGACCTACTCCGTTCGGCATCCTGTTTTTTTATTTATCTCCACGACGTGAAAAGAAAGAAGAAAAAAAAAATAAAAACGAAAAGACAACTACAAAAGTAAACTCTTTAAGATTCCCGGGTTTCGGCACCACTTACGTCGGTTCGAACTCGGAAAGATAAAAAAAAGAAAGAAAGAAGAGGTTTGAAATGAAACGCGTGGTTGCTCAAATAAGACTGACTTTATTCTCTCCGTAATGCTATATATATAGCATTACGGTTTGTTTACAACTATTGTCTAGGATTAACTCTCATATAAACTTACATCTAACCATAACTTATATATATATATATATATATAAAGTATGCTGGAAAGAATTATTTTTGTATGAAAACTTTTGCTGGCCACTGTAGATAATTTATAGAGACAAATATTGGTAAAAAAAAATTTAATTCAAAATATATAGTATATTATTCAAACAATATCTTGATAAGTTAACAAAGAGAAGAGTGACTAGACAAAAAGCAGACACTCAATAAAAACATGGAACAATTTTTTTAATGAAATCTATCCATCCCTCCATTAAGATCTCTTATATCTTCTAAAAGATGTATTATACCCATTTTTTTATATCCTAATTGGGTTTAATGAGATATCTTCATTCCTGAAAAACATAATAAAAGTAGCCTATCCTTGATGGAATACAGAATGAACCTAGGCCAAATTTTCTGTCATCTGGACATGTAAATATTTTAAACATGTTTAACAATGTTCGGTACTTTAAAATTACTCCAAAATCCTGGAGCCATGCTATTATTAATCAAATCTATAATAATGGTAGATTAACAAATCCTGACATTTTGGGCCAATTGTAAAATTAAAATTTAAATGAAGTTCAACCACATTTTACAGCCTAACATCTAAATCCAGTTGCACAAATGAAGGTCATCATTTGAACTAGTTCAAAGTTAGTTTATGGTGAGTGGCTGTAGAGGGACGTTTGAACCAAGTTCTTGAACTTACTACTATTACATCATCATTTACACTTCAATGTAATTTTATGTATAATAGAGACATTTTCTTTGAAGAAAATATTACCGATGATAAAGATTATAACTGTGTTTTTTGAAATTTCACATATCCTCGCCCTTGTTGATCATTCATATATCGCCGATATCACCTTAACCATTGAGAGATGAATTATTTTATTGATTCTATTTCTATATGTGTATAAGCTGTTTCATCTAGAAAAAAAAATCTGTTGTGGATCTTCCTTGTCTAAATTCATACTAGTAATTCTCAGTGACACTCACCCCATCTCAATAAATTTGGTTAATTACTACGGAGAAAACCTTATAAGCAGTCAACAGGAATGGTGGTATAGTTCTCACATGCGGTCCTGTCATCTTTCTTATAAACTGGGCCAAGGGTAGCTTTTCCATTCTGTTGTCATACTTTCACGAGTCCATATGTATCATATCAATTTATATACCTGTTTAATTACTGTCTGTTTTTTGTTTTTAAGAAATGCAGCCAGTATTTCATCAATGACTGGCACCTTCTGATTGGAGGTTCTTCCTCTGTGACTTCTCCCTCTCTATTCCATTCTCCCTACCTCTCTCTCCTACAATAATTACCTTTTACCTATTTATTGGATTGTCCAGAAAGTTCATAGGAAAGTTTTGATGAAAATTAAAATTAGTTAAATGCTTAAAATTTATATATATATATATATATATATATATATATATATATATATATAAATTAAATATAATTTCCATTATGAGCATTTACCCTTTCCCAATGACTTGAAAGGTATATAAACCTCCTTTTTTCCTCCCAAAGTCGCTGTCTTTATGTCCTAAGAACAATGAAAGGTCCTTTTTTATGTCTTCTGCAATGTAGGATTTGCCTTGCAGAAAATTTCCATTTTTTGCTGCATGTCAAAATTCACTTCAAAAAGGGATCCTCCACATTTTTGTTTCAGTAAGAAATCACAAGTTGAAATTTATTTTTAAATTAAATTTTTTTTTTGCAAGATTTTAATTTCACAGCTTTCTTACTGACACTACTATGTGGATTGGTTGCAACAACAGCCATTATATCACCAATATCCATTGTTAAACCTCTGATTGGCCTGGGGGTCGGTCTTCCAGTTCAAAATCTCCAGACCTAAACCGCAAAAATCACTTCTGAACACTGCTGTCAGCAACTTAATTTTCATATGTGCAAATCTTATGTGCAATTTGAGCTGCATGTTTTTTTTTTTTTAAAACAAAAAAAGCATAATTTGGAGAAAATGTACTTTATTGTCGCTCATGTTCAGATTGCACGCTGAAGATACTGAGCCTTGATAAATATAAATTAGATATGCAAGTACAGATAATACATGGAGGATTAAAGATATATATATATATATATATATATATATATATATATATATATATATATACAAACATATAATAATAATAATAATAACCTTTATTTGTGCATACAATGAAAAAAACAATGGATCAAATTTACAAAATCTCTTATATGTACAAAATCAACTTAGTTGAGGTTTTGAGTTCGATTTCTTTCTTCTTTTTTTTTATTTTTTTATTTAACTTTCTTGTAACCACACTAGGTAATGAACCTGTCCCATCCTTTTCCATTCTTTCCTCTCTAATGCTACTCTCTTCCAGGCTGCTCCCCACAGGTCTTCTTCATCTCCTTGTCCCAGTCGGTCGGCGGGCGTCCTCTCTTCCTCACGTGCTCTCTTGGATACCAATCCATAAACTGCCTGGTCCATGTTAATTCATTCCTCCTGATTACATGTCCGGTCCAGGTCCACTTCCTGATGAGCACTTTTTCCACAATATCTGGAAGGTCAGTCTTAACTCTGATCCATTTGTTTGTTTTTCTATCCCTTCGAGTTATCCCCAGAAGAATATACAAACATAGGCTTTGTAATTTATCATGAGTTGAAAGAATACAAAATAAAACCTTTTTAAAACATCTAAAAACATTCTGGGTAACCCAACATATTCAACAATCCATGGAATTATCTCTTCCACTTTGACTTCCTTACTATTTTCAAATAAATTTCCTTCTTCATCTTCATTAAATGCAGACCGTGTTGCATATCCTGCCTTATATACTTATATCCTGCTATGTAATCTTTGAACTCCCCTCTCCCTCTCTAATCCAGTAAAACTTTCTGCTGTTCAATTTAATAATTATTTTTTCTTACTTATTCATTAATTGAAAAAAAAAATGGGATTATGCTTAATAATTTTATACTGATTTGATTTAGGTGGACAAGTAAATTGGAAAACTACTTTAGATTGTTCAGATTTTGTTAAACGGGATGTATTTATATTTTCTAGTCCTTTCTTCAGTAGAATGAAATATTGGGAAAATTGTAATTCAGGTTATATCAGAAGCATACGACCTATGCCATTAGATTCTGAAAAAGTTCAAGGATCTTCTCCTAACATTCAGGTAATAAAATTGGTTAGCTTTTATTTTATTCAAATATTAATGTTTGTTAGTGGTATAACCAATGAAGCTGTGAATCCTCTTAGCTTTATTATAATATTTTTTATGTATTTGATTTGAATATAAAGTCAATCTTTTAATTTTAGTTAGATTTTATTATATACAGGCAATTCTTGATGACTAGATTTTAAATTCGTGAAATGACTTCAATTATTCATAATCTGGTTAATAGAGGAAGTTAAGTTTTCAACATTCTGAATCAAAAGGGTCATACCTGTTTTTGTTTATTTAATAAAGAGAATTTTTGATACAAAGGTGAATGTATTTTCAAACAGTAGTTACATTTTAAAAATGTTTCATTTTTTTTTTTAATATATACAAGATTTATGTATAGATAATTACAATGCTTGGCAAACTGTTTTTGTGGTTTTCATGTAGAAGTTAAAAGTGCACTTTTACAAACTACATTAAGCCATATAAAGTCCCTTATTCTTCTTTTCCCCCAGATCTTAAATGACTATTCTATCTTTAAGCCATTAGTTCTATGAATGTTCTAAGCCATTAGTCATTACTTAAAATTTTCATGTTTCAATATTATGGTAAAGTTAGCACATTTTTCCTTTTACAATTCTCCCTCCCCCCCTAACCTTTTTTGAACAAATAATTTTTCCCTGCATTGCTTTCATTATTTAGCCAGGAATTTTTCTTCAGGAAATGCTTTCTCATTTCTTTTCTTTACTTAACAGTTTTCTTATTCCTTACTTTAAAGTTCTTTCATCGAAATTGTAGAAAAAGTAACTATTAAAGATACAAAAACTAACAGGAACTTTTTTTTTTGTTTACTTTGTGTACTTTTTTGTTTTATTCTTTAGATAATTTTTATTTTATGTATTAGATAATTTGTATTAAATGTATAGTGGTTTAAATCTTCGTTTATCCATTGTACAGATTATTGAACTACTATGTGAAAAAACATCCTATGAAAACATCCCCATAGAATAGTGGATCATAAAAAGAAGTTACAAACCACTTTAAATAATAAACTTACTGACAAGGTTTTGATTGTGTCGGATTTACATCCTAATTTCACTAATATTTAATAAATTTTTTTTTGTCCTTTTTTCTATATGGTCATTAATTAGGAGGCCTGCGGCTCATTTTTGGTTACTCATTCATTGGTGATGCATTTTTTAAAGCTGGCATAATCCACTGCAGCCTACTCAGATCTATTGTTCACCATTCTCAAAAGCTGTTTATGTGTTTCAAAACATTACTTTCGTAGCACGGGAAAACTGTAAAAGGCTTGTTGAATTGAGTCAGTCTGTCAATCCCTTCCAAATATTCTGTTGCACTAACAGGTGATATAAAAGAAGAAGAAGAAGAAAAATAAATTTTATTCTAAAACTAAGTCCCCTTAAAATAACTACAATGTACTATTTAATGACAAATGTCTGGCATTCGAAATAATTAGGAATGAATTAAATTACAAGGTTATCTAGATCTAAAATTACAATAAAGAAAAGACATATTAAATTGTAGATAAATTTAGATATGCGAGTTCACATATTTGTACACATAAACAATGTGGATGATATATAATTATCTGTAGGATAACATTAAATGTGACTGACAGGTCTGAAAAACATTAATATTATTTTAAACATATTCTGAAGATTGGTTGCTGAGGCAATGGAAAAATAAATTATGTTAAAATGAGGTCAAGGATGAGGATTTGCTTATCAAGGTTGGTAAGGAATTCCAAAACAAGGTAGCACGTATGACAAACGATTTTTTTAAGGAAACAGTTCTATGAAAAGGAATAAACAGGTTTGAGGGATGGGATTTTGTGTTGAACGAATGGGCAGAGGAAAGAGGAGTAAACAAGGTTCGAAAAAGGAACACACCCAGGAAATATTGCCGTCGAAAGACTGGATTGAGCCACTTCAACTCGTCATACTAACCAGAGACATGGGAGCGTCTGGGGACTCCAAAAAAAAATCTAATGAAACAATTCATTAGTCTCTTTAAACTGATCTTAAGCCCACCAGACAGTCCACCGTATACAAGGCAGCCATAATTGAAATGAGGGAAACTAGGATCTGAGGAATTTCAAGGGGCATGGAATCACGGAATTTTAGGAACTGTTTGAGGGTAGCAATGGATTTTCAGATTATTTGGGAAATATGATTATTTCAGGACAGATATTGATCAAACATTACCCCAAGGTTTCTAACGGAAGTGTGGAAATGGATAGGTAGGCCATTGAGGTTGTGTAGGGGATAATAAGGAATGGAATTAATCAGATGCTTGGAACCAATGAGAATGGCTTTGGTCTTCTCAACATTCAACTTAAAATCATTGCTCACTGCCCAAGTACTGATACTATCAATGTCATCTTGAAGCCCTTGGATGGCCTCCAGCATGATGGTAGGATGAAAGGAATGATAGATTTGGAGGTTGTCAGCATATAAGTGATATTCTGAATGGTGGAATCAGGAAGGTCGTTGATATAGATGGAGAAAAGAGTTGAAGAGAGCTAAGATCCCTGAGGAACACCCCGGGTTAGTAAGAGGGAATAGGACTGAGACAAGCGATGAACTCAGACCTTCATGCCAATAATTATAGAGATATACTATATAATTTGAACATAAGCAGGAGTAACACACATAGAAACAGAAAATCATCTTTATTCTGGGACTAGGTCCCTTGAGAATAACAATATTGTTTAAATCAATTGACAATAAATCTGGCCAGATGACCTATTATAATAAAGAGTAACTACAATCTAAGTAATAAAATGAGTATATACATAGTTTTGGAGGATATATTAAGGAAAGCGGATGGGTACAACGGTTACAGTATTATATTGGTACAAAAAAAAAAAAACATACTTATAACTAAATAAAATTAGAAAGAAATGCTAAATAAATTTTATAGGTAACCAATTTTAGTGCTACAATATAATAAAAAAAACATAAAAGAAAAATAAGAATAAAAGAAAATAACTAGAGTAAATAAATGATTTATATATGTTCCTTAAGACGTTTAAGTGAAAATATGTGAAGTTATTGTGACAACGTAGACAAGTATAGTGATCTACCTATGATGCAATAGATTACGAGCAGAAAAAGAAAAAACAAACACACACACACACACACATATATATACATACCCACATAGAGAGGAGAGTGCAGAAGATAAGTAAAAAATGGATTGGAGCGAGTCAAGTTGATTGGACTGTTCGAGGAAATTGGACACTTGGAATTTTACTATTCTTTCTAGGGTTTTTGAAAGGTTAGAGAGGATTGAGATTGGAAGGAAATCTTCAGGGGAAGTAGGGTTAGAATTTTTATTTAAAGGACGGACGATGTCTACTTCCAAGGGGTAGGAAACACAGAGCTCTGAAGGGAGAAATTATAAATGAAAAGGAGAACGGGGAGGATTTCAGGTAGGCATAAGTTGATTAATTTGGCAGGAATGCCATCAGGACCAATGGGATTTGAATGTGATTTCATCACAGCGGATATGAGGTCTGTGGGTGAAATATCAAAGAAATAAAAATCGTCTTCATTAAACGATGTAGCCGGAGGAAAGGAAGATGTTAATGGTGTGGTGACAGAGGAAGCAGATATAAAATAGGAATTTAGATCATCAGGTGAAACTGGGAATACTGCTAAGGAAGGTGATCTGGATGGTTCACAGAGGGAGAGTTTACGAAGAAGTAGCCATTTGGATTTGGAATCAGGAGCTGAAAAGAGTGCTTCATGAAAATAGGTGGATTTGGCTCGTCGGATTCTGGTTTGTGTCAGGTTAAGGAGAATTCTATACGCTTGGTAGTCGTCAGCAAGCCTGGTATGTTTAAAGCGTCTACGGGCTGCGTCACGTTTCCTCTGAAGATCTTTGATTTGCTGACACATCCAGGGAGCCAGACGTCTATGAAAGGTAGAGGTTGTGATGGGAACATGAGTATCAAGGATATTAAGAAGATTTGAGGTGAGTTTGTCAACCATGGAATCAATAGAGGAACCGGAATATATTCCATCCCAATCCAGGGATTCCAGGCTGGGTAGGATTTTTTCCCGAGTTAGTGTTTTAACAGGGTGGCGACTGATCTGGAAAAGTCAGGGAATTTTCAAAACCAGGAAAAGTCAGGAAGAAGTCAGGGAAAAATGGTTAAAGTCAGGGAATTTTTTTAATTCAAAAATATTCTTTAACGACCTTAAGAGATCTGGTAAATTTCGTTGTTATAATGTATAATTGTTATAGGCGACCGGACCATCTTCATATTTATATCGTTATATAACCTATATCTATCCACTTGTCATTGGCAATAATGGCCCTGGCCGTTATATTGGAATTAAACAAGGGCAATGAATAAAATGAAAGAAAAATGGAGTCAAAACAGTGCTTTTAAGAAAAGAAAATATAGCAATACTATTTACTATCTGTAAGTATACATCTATTCGTTGGTTAACTAAAGGAGAACGTTGGCAGCTTCACATAATTGATGCTTAGGTAGAGTCGTAATGTGCGAATAACCAAAATGTCGGACCGCTCGGACTTTAAAACGCATTTTGGTCCTTAATTTTGTGATCATTGTTATGCATATCAATAGAATTTATAAAAGCTAAGCAATATATTTATACATCCTAGTTCTGTTATAAAATAGTTAAATTAGCCGAAAATAAAGCATTGAAAAGATAAAAAGCTTTGAGAGCGGCAGATGCTATAACAGAAATACGGCTTGGATTCTCTTAGCTTTAACAGCCGTTTAATCTTCTTACATATTAATGTGTCTGTATTAGGTATATACGAAACTTAATGCTCTTTCAAATTGATTATATTGAATTTCTTCGATAGATGCATAGATTATGAGTTTTTGGGGAAAACCAACAAAAACAGATTTTTCTTGTGAAAAATGCAAACAGTCAATATTCTCTTACTGCTCACCCATTAGCCCTATATCAAAAAGCTATGCATAAAATTGATGGTAAATTTTATCT